CCATCGATCTTTGGGGGATTTTGAGTCGTTCCCCGAAGTGGCAACAACTCAACAATCCCGACGGCGTATCATTCCGGAAAAGATCCACCGTCGACGCCGAGGTTGAGGTCGACGAGACCATCGGTTCTACCGATCAAATCCCTTCCTTCAACGTTGCGGCTTCCGATGACGAGGACCCCATTCCACGGCCGATCGGAAGAAAGAAGGCAAAATCCATTGCCTCTGGTTCGGGAGGGTCCGCCTCTATTTCCGCTTCTCCCCGCGACGAAATCGGCCGGGCAATGGTTGAACAACTTCGGGCGTTCAATCTCCAAGAACAAGAGAGGTTGAAGCTTAAAGAGAAGGAGTTGAAGCTAAAGGAGCAGGAGGCCGAGATGAAAGTCATACAAACCGACCCCGGGACGTTGTCGGAGTTTGGACGAATTATCTACGAGCAAAGAATGAGAGAGATCAAGGAGAAATATAATTTACCTTAGTTTTTTTTATTAATGTATCTTTTTTTTAAATTATTGTCGCTTTTTTTTATTTAATTAATATGTTTTTTTATTATTCGTGTTTCAATTTAATTAGATAATAAATCAATTACATTTTATTAATTTAATTTTAGAAGATGTATATTTAAAAATGTAAAAAATGAAGGTTTGAAGCCTCAGTTTGAAGCCCCGGGGCTTCAAACCCATTTCCAGTGAATTTTGAGTGTAAGTTAAAGCTGACGTGGCAGAGAGAGAAAGTTTGAAGCCCCGGGGCTTCAAACGTATTACCAGTGCTCTAATAACTCTACTACTCTAATAATAATAATAATAATAATAATAATAATAATAATAACAACAACAATAATAATAATAATAATAATAATAGGGCATTGTTTCGTTGACACTCGCCAACGGTGATACTAGCGGTGCTACATTGTCCATTCCCTTCTGTACACTCGCCAATGTTTCGCCAACGGTGATACTAGCAGTGCAACTGCATTTTTGGAGTATTTTCGGTGCTCCAATCAATAAATTGATGGTTTCTCAATTTAATTTTCCTATTTACTATTCACATAATCACACTTTAATCATGTTTTTTTAATTTTTATTATTCAATTGATAAAATAATACTTCATAATTCTAACATCTCTTGTTTTATACGAGTATATCTTTTGATATAATTTTTTAAATATATAAATTCTATTTTTTGATTTCATACTAATTTTGAACTAAATTGAGTTAAAAAATCATACAAACCTTATAAATAATACCCTCTCCATCTTAAACTTAACTTTTCAGTTTGATTTTTGCAATTACAAATTTTAAAATTTGATTGCATATTACAAAAAAATACATTAAATTTTCATATAATATTTTAATCAATTTATTCATTTTGAAATATATTTTTTTATAATATATATTTATATAAAATTAAATTATTAATAATCAAAATATTACATTAAAAACTGTGAAAAACTAATATAAAACTAATTTTAGAATAGAGGAAGAAATAAACAAAATTAGAGCGGAGGATAAAAAAACATAGCAATACGAAGGAAGCAGCTTGATGCCACAAGTCCACAAATGCCACTATATACCCCACTAATGCCACTATATGCCCCACTAACTCTTCCCCACTAATGCCACTATGTACCCCACTCACTCTCCCACTATCAATAACTACACTACTCTAATAATAATAATACTCCCTAATAGTAATAGTAATTAGTAATAATAATAATAATAGTAACAGTAATGATAATAATAAAAATAACAATAACAACAACAATAATAATAAGGTTATTGCTAAACCTACCCCATATTTGGCTATATCCCTTCCTTTTTGTGTCAAATACTTAATGCTTGAAATGGGAAAGAAAGAAGTGAAAGGGCAAAAATGTCCATCTCTTATAAATGAAGTGAATTTAGCCAATTAGGGGTGGATTTAGCATCACCTAAATAATAATAATAATAATAATAATAATAATAATAATAATAATAATAATAATAATAATAATAATAATAATAATACTTCCGTCCATTAATTTATTTCTCACTTTCTTTTTTAGGTTGTCCAAAAATTTCTTTTCTCAAATCCTATTTTGGCAAAAGAACTTTTAATGATTGTGTCATTATACCTTCACTTTTTATCCATATTATTCACTTTATTTCATCACATCAAAAGCAACACATGGAAAGTCTTTATACTTTTTAACTTTTCTTAATCTTCGTACCAAGTCAAGTCAGGAAAGATATTTTTCAACGGAGGGAGTAATAACAATAAAAACAACAGTAATAATAACAATAATTATAATAATAGTAATAGTAATAATAATGGAAGTAGTCATACACTTAATATGGAGGCACCCTACATAGTAAATTCATGCAAAAAAAAAACATTACAATACAAGGTGAAGTAGGTGTGTAATGAGCATAGCATTGGAAAGCCTACATCATTCATCACACAAGCCTGAAGAGCATCATCCAATCCACACCCATCAAAATTGGGTATAATCTTACAGTGTGTGGCTATTGGCTCTTCACTTCAAACATATGCAGAGAACCCCACCACAGCTACTAATAATCTAGCCATTAAGGAGTTTCTCACCTCTATAGAGTGTCATCTTTTGGGATCCATTCAGGTAGAAGTAGAGTTGTATGGGTTGATTCCCAATGCCTCAAAATAGGCTTTCTCGGCGGCTGCCACTCGATCCTGAAACATTGTCCATTCCCTTCTGCACCTCTCCCTTACCTGACATTCATCATATTGCCAAATTGGTTTTGCTTCATCGATCAAACGCTATCCGTTTGAATCCGATATCAAAATCAGTGCAAATATGCAATGTTATGGACTCTTGGTTTTTTCCCCTTTTTTTTTGGGGGGGGGGGGGTGTGGTGCAACCAACGGTCATGATAGTCCACATGGACAGAGTGTGTAGGGCTCATTTTTTAATGGCTTGGGGCAAAAACCAGAAAAGAGGGCCGAAAATGAAGGTATTTTAATTTGGTTTATTGCTTTTAAAGCAAAATGAACATAATTAGTTAGATATGGCTGAAACAGCCTCTTTAGTGTCAAGGGTAAAGTATGCATACACACACCCTTCCCAGCCTAGACCCTATCTCGTGGGACTTTTCTGGGTTTGTTATTCTTGTAGTGTAGATATGGCTGCTTTATATAATTACATTAATGCGGAGTGTCATAATATTCTATCAACTTTGAGTGCCGTTTGCCGGAAGTCTGTTTGGTTTGTGACTTGTCAAGAACCTTGAGGATCATTTGGTGATTTGATCATATGTTGAGTGGGGTAGATGTAAACAAATCGGATCAATATGAAAGTATGAACATAAAATAGAAACTTGCAACCTACCCCTTCCCAGGGCGCCTTGCCATTCTCTGCTTGACCCTATTGAAAAAAACATCAAATCAAAAAACACTTATGGTTCATGTCTCTCACAATGTTTTGATATTATGTATTTGAGCTGCTATAAGGATTACCTGGTTCCCGAGAGAGGGAACAGTTTGGTGCACAATCCACTGAGCATCTACAACTCCAATCTTTTCATGAGCAGGCTGGCATAGATTTAGAGTGGCAAAAAAACACATTATTGCCCAACAGTGAAAAGGTTAAGATGAACTGATGAAGACACATTTGCTGCATATACTCACCTCAACACACTTTCTAAGAGCAAAATCAAGACCCCATCCATGAACCAGATCGTTCTGCAATAAAAAAAAATTGGAACATTACTCTCCTTCTACACATTTTTAGGAACGAGAGGGCATAGGGCATTCCATATGGTAATGTTGCAGTGAGTATTTATTAACGTCAACTCACACTTCACCGTGACCAGTAAATAATACTCTGACAACAATCAGACAATGAAGGTACAGCTTTTGAACTTTGGCAAGGTACAACTCTCCTCTCTTCATTCCATTGAAAAAAACCCCCTATTTCTCCCAACAAAAAAACCCTCTTTGTTGATTTAGTTTTGTCCAAAAAAAGAACCCTAGGTCCCTAGCACAACTACAAGAAACTAATTTTCATTATAGTTTAATGTATTTTTTCAAAAAAAAAAAAGTGCCAAACAAATTACACTTAGTTGAACAAACAAATCAGTTTAAAATATGTCTAGAAATCTAAAATTGATGGTTCAAATAGTCATACCATAAATTATTAAATTAAGTTGTATGAAACTCTTTTATGGAAAGCTAGACGAATAATTAGTTTCTTTTTATATACTCCGACTAAGGCCTCTTTGGACAAATTCTTTTAAAAACTGGACTCATTTTTTAAGAGTATAGTACAATTTTGGAATAGAGGATATCAACCCAGGCAGAACCCAGGGAGAAACGTGATCGGGTGTAGAATTAGCTAGAGTGAGAGGAAAAGATATGGGTGTACTTCAGACCTGTATCATATGCCATACACAGCGCCATGCATCCCTAGAAAATACAGGTGCCATGATCTCGACAAACCTGCTTAGAAGTGGTTATAGACTACAGAGATCAGCAAAAAGGTTACATGTTATTTCATAAAGGGTTTAATGAAAGTCATCCGGGGAACATACGCCGCACATGGTGGGAGATGTGGATCAGCGCACCAACCAGGTCTTTCCTCTGTTTCTCTACAAGCAGAGGCAACAAAAATGGCATGAGATCTAAGTTATGCATGCTTGGACTCATTTGAAAAGGCAAAAAAACTCATACTGTGTGTATGGATTCAGGGAGAGGGCGGTTAGTATATAATGAAGGGAGGAAAAGGATTATAAAGCAGTGAAGGGGAAATGATGAAATGAATATAGATTGGGTAAGTTTGGTAAAGGAGATGAAGGGATTATAAGGGATTATTATGTTTTTTTTAAAAATTTGGGTTTCAAACGAAATAGGTAGAAAGTAGATGCAAAAAATTGACCCAAAACCCGACCCGGAAATATTGGTTTTGAACAAACACTTTGTAACCTAAAAAGGATATAGAATATGACCGACCCACTTAAAATTGACTTGACATGTTTTTTGCCCAAAGTGACCCAAAACAACATTTATTAAAGATGATAGACGTTTAAACATGACCGAGTATAATTTATATCAAAATAAATAAATATTTTGAGGGGACTGTTCTCTCCTCTCCTTCCATTTAACCCCAATTCCAAGACATGAAAGTATTGGGGAATGGAATGTGGGGAGCCTCCACCTATAAACCTCCCCCTCCCCCTTCATTTTCTTCCAAACTGGTAAAAAAAGAAGAACAATAAGAATAGTGTACACCCCCTCTCCAAAGCTCATTCCCTTATGCTTCAGTAGTAATCAGTACTAATGTAAACTTATAAAATCCCTACTTGTGAACTTCAGTGTCATCCCGCCTCCTTGTCATCTGCCAAGTTAGCCCACTCTCTGGTGCTAGACCAGGCTGTGAAATTTCTAGCCCATGTTTCCTCACCAATTTTATATACCTGCAATATGCATACAAATCTAAGTTCCTGAAAACATTTTTCTAATGCTTGAATATGTTTTTTGTCCCTACAAATATAGTGGTTTTTGGTTTATAAATTCCAACCACAATAACGCTTGGTTTTCATGTGGCTTTTTGTTATCCATCCACTAGCTTTCACCATTTTCTTTAATGTCGCTCACTAAACTCAAACAATGATTTTCTATCTCATCTTTAAAATGTATTAATATTTTAAGCAAGAGAGGCATAAAGTTAAAAATTAAAATGGGAACATTGACTTTTGCTTAGCCCCAACTCCTCTAATAGTCAGTAGTCAGCAGCGAGTTACAGAAAATTGACATGGAGGTTAATACAGGGACAAAAAAGAATACATGTAAACTTACTATGTAGTACAAAATCCTTAAAAAATATGATGGATTTGATGGGAAAAAATCATAAACCTTCTTACTATGTAGAAGTATTTTACTTACTCCTCTGCATTGAAATTCTCAAGCCCCAAGTCCTCATCCCATATAAATATGTAGTCATAAGGTGCTACAATGTCAGGATGCAAAAAGCGTTTCGCATACCACCTTTTAAAAATAAAGAGAGTCAATAATCAGGTGGAAGTGTATACCAAACCTTCACAACTGCACATATGCAACAACAATATAATGTGAATAAAAGACACATTCACCATTTAGTTTGCTTCAATGCACTGACATGGATAGCCTGCTTTGACCACTCAAATTCATCCCATTCACTCGTCCGACCATCATAGTGAAACAGCATGATGGTAAAGTTTCCTGAGAACTGCACAGGGTTGTTAAGCAGTGCAGATGCATATAAAATGGACATACATACGCCAAAGAATATTAAGTTAGAATTGGTTTGGATGGAATCCGGCTTTGGAGGGCTACGTTTATATCTTGATTACGTTTGAGATAATATGTGAGCATATCACGAACCAATCACTTTTTATACATTTTTAAAATAATTCTATCTGACACAAGATATAAACTAAACCCATCAAAGCCCTCCCCTCCAAAACCCTCCAAATTCCAATGAGACAAACTCTTAGGGCTGAGAAGAGGGTTAGATTTCAAAGGAACCTTCTTCACTGCAGCATCAATGTTACTTTTCTGAGCATATCCAACCGTGAATGTAACAAGATATCTCGGCTTGATGATCAAGTCCTGCAGATTAATTCAATACACACACATACATAAGAGAATGAAGGAGGAGCGAGCAAGATATAAATAAAAATTAAGCTCAACACAAAAAGTAATTTAATGGGAGTAGAGGGCCTCATGCCATTCCTAGCAGAATATAGAGAAGGCCAAGAATTTCATAGATGGTGCACTATTTCTTCAGCAAATGAAGAGAAGGCCAGAATATTTCTATGTTTAGTTTCAAGCCTTGTGATGTGTGAAAATGTTAAAACTTCAAAGGAAGTTCTTACCCTCCAATAGGATACCATTTTTAATTGTTTTTTTCATTATCCTTAGATAGAGAATTATCTAAAATCTAGATATCTATACAATAGACTAGATAGGTACTACTCCCCACCTCAAGAAAAGACTTCTAATCGTTTCCCCAGAAGCAAAGCTTCTATATTTTAGTGAGGTACAACTTGCGAAATTATACATTCGAACTTTTGTTTTAGTTTGCATGTCAAACTAAATTTAACATAGTCAACTTGTTTGGAACATTTTATTTTGTAAGAAACATATTGAATCCAATGAAAATAAGTTTTGTTTGTTGAAAGACTTGAAACATGACACCCTTCTTGTTACAAAAAAAAACTGAAGTTCTGAAACGGGACTTTTTTGGGGATGGGGAGAATATCTTTTATCCAATTTTCACTTATAGTATGGATTAGATTACATCTTTGTAGCAGAAACTCTGGTTTAGAATGTATCCTACATATCTGGCCATGGAGGAAAGCACAAACCTCACTAGGTAAGCCCCATAGTCTTCGAAGGTAAAAATCAGACTCAGCATTAACAATCCCTGGGGGTAACCTCTCAGCTCCTCTAGGGTTTGTTGGAACCCAAATCTGCAACAGCATCACTCATCACATTAGAGGAAGCAAGAGATAGTTTATTTGTCATTCCAGGAAAACAATGTCTTCACCTATGCAACAGAAATAATATACAGAGTAGCTCTTAGAATTATTTCAACTGTAGTTTTGGTTCCACGGCTAAAAGGACACTTCCACCTTCACCCCCTGCATTTGTTTTCCCCAATCTGCGGATATCTATTAAATTCTACCACTTTTGGTCCCCCCAGCCATAAACTAGGATAAATACAAATCCTGGCATTAGATTTAATCAATGCATTTGCAACTTACAATGGCATTTCTGTCATTTGAAGGGAAAGTGTGACATTTTCCCCACCAGATTTTCTACTCATATTTAATGAGATTACTGACCTAATGTCTAGATGGACCAAAAGCGGAAACAGTTTAAAAGCCAAGCACCAAAGGTGAACCAAAAGTGGAGGTGACCTAATAGTTGTGATTTTGTGAAGACCAAGAGTGGAAAGTTGCTGACCCAAATATCTTAACGTATTGGTTGAATGCACTTTCTTTTCATTTGGTTCCAAGAAAATGTCCTTGCAAGCACATACTAATTTGAAGAATGAATTAATAACCTTTGGCCTTATGTCTTTTGGTGAGTCACCTCTACTACCCTTCAGGAAAGACAAGACGTTTAACAGTGTTTGAGTTGAAAGACCGGAGTTCTTGTCCTCAACATAAGTATGGTTAGTGGAAGCAATGAGACTTGAAAAATTCATCTGTGAATGAGAAAACTCAAAAAGGTAAGATACATAATAAAATAAATGTTTCTTACATTATAAATGGAAACAAATGGTCAGCCTACTTTTGTCAATGAGAGTGCAGGAAAGGAAATGCCTAAGAAGAATCCAAATACGATCCCGACAAAAGTTGTTAGTATGAGTCTCATAGTTCCAGCCTGTCTCCTCGTAATTGAGCTGCAGTAAGAGAAGAACAGTAAGGTCTTGTTTCTTTTAGCTTTGGAGTTGGAATTGAATGGTAGGGAATTGTATGATTGAAATCAGACAAAACCATGCATGGGGAAAAAGTTCATCAAATTTCTGTAAATTAAGTAAAACCAAAGTCACGTGAGAGGAATTGAGAAAAGAGAAATCAATTATTTTCTAGGTTTTCTGAGTCCAAACATTGGAAGAATATATAATCCTAGGAAATAATGGAATTTCCGGGAATCAGCTCCCCATCCAAAGGAGAGCTTAACCCTTGTTTGGTTGGATGATACCGGAGGGGGAAGGGGATGAGTGATATTTATTTTAATAAATAATTCTGAAAAGATTCTATAGAGATACTTGATTCAAGTTTTTGGGGATTCTATTTTAACAAAATGTAGATTAACTTCTAGGATAAATACTAACAAAAAATAGATATAATTTAGTCTTTTTTCTCTTTTAATCAATCATTCGCTCCCCTCCAAAATCCCTCTTGGAAATCCCTCAATCAACCAAGCCATGTGAGTTGGATTCCAGTTAAATGCATCAATCCAGTTTATAATGGTATTAAACAACATGGTAAGCAGTTAAAAACTCAAGGAACCTGCGGATAGGTGTAGCCATCTTGGCAAAGAGTTACTGAAAAACTTTTTGGATAACAGAGGATGAAGGTGCAAACAACCTCAGCGTCATCTACTAGAGGTTAGATCACCTAACAAAAACCAATGCTTTCTTCTGCCCTAAAAAAATAATCAAAATAAGTCAAGTTCAAATCCAAAAAAATCTGTACAATCACGATGAACTACGAATTCAATACCATCAAATTTAACTTCTATCCCATATTTTTCAGTAATGTACAAATTATTCAAGGGTTCAACTAAATTCTCAAACAAATTGACCGATTCACATTACTTAAACATAAAAAAAGAGGTAACAAAACCGAACAGATGACTACGAATGCTTAAAAGTGAACTCCATGATCTTAACCTTGCAAATTCTGAAGCAGAAACTTAAATCGCTGGATAGTACGACTCCGTTGGACAAGAAAAGTTGGAACTTTGGCTGATTTACACTTCAAATTTGGAGCATGTTTGAGCAAAAAAAAAAGAAACAATGGAAAGTTAGAGCTCCAGTTCAGACAACTGTAGCTAGAAATCTTCGCCGGTGTGACTCCGGTCACGTTTTTGGGCCGGACAGGCCGGCGGAGAGTGCGGAAGCCGTAAGGTGGCCGCTCTAACTTTTTTGGGCCTCACTTTGAAATTGAATTGGGAAAGGAAAAAGAAAATTTTCCCTTATACGGAGTACTATATGTTGGCTAATTACGATTAGGAATACAGTTTGGAACATGATTATGGGTCTTAGAATTAATTATATATATACTTCCTCCATCCCTAAATATTTGCAACATTTACTTTTTCAGAAGTCGCGAGAACTTTTGTTTATTTCTACGTTTTCATTGGTTATTTTATAAAATAAATATTCTTAACACCTCTTATTTCGAAGAATTTTTCATGTAATTTTTTTATATGTAAATTTTATTTTTTATTTCTATACCAATATGTAAATAAAATGAATTGAAAAAACTTGATATTTTACCTCGGGAATACAAGTGTGACAAATATTCAGGGATAGAGGGAGTGTATGTGTATGTGTGTGTGTGTGTATATATATATATATATATATATATACAAGAATGAAAAAGGGATGAAAGTGGGTCCATTATATCCGTCATTCCATTTTATTTTACAGAAGGATTTTTTATCCAAGAAAGGCCACTCCTACGTTTGCTACTATTTGATTCAATTGAACAAGTAAGGTTTAATCAAATTTGCTCTAATCTCAAGCACTAGATCCTCTTACACCACTCCAGACATACATTAGACACAAGAAAAATATGACAGAATCTGAGACACCACAACCAAAGGTCAAGAGAGTTGGACTTACATCAGTCCAACTTTTTTTTTTCTTGATTGTCATTGCGCTTTCTGTTGGATTCTTCTTGATTGTCAATATTTTCTCCTCAATTCATCCATTGTCGCTATTCAATTCGTCCACCATCGTCGCCCACTGCCCTCCTTCACATTGCCGGACTCCACCGCTTCCACCATCGCCATTCACCACCCTCCATGCCACAAAAGGTGGGCATCGCTCATTTATCATCGCATCTTTTCTGCCTTCCGCAACCAACGATCTTGCGCACACCATCGCCGCCTCAATTTGTTTGTCCATAATCGTCAAAGTTCTTCCCCCTCTTTTTCTCTTCGTAGATCTGCTTCTGTTTTTTCTCAAATTTTTTAGATTTTCTCCAAACATAAAAAAATAAATGAAAAATGACTTCTGGAAAATAACTAATTTTCCATAAGTTATTTTCCGAAAATTATTTCTCTCTTCCAAACGGGCTTTGAAATATAAATTACGCGTGTCTGCTTCAGTCTTAATTAAATTGATAAACTAAAATTTTAAATACTTTGATTACTTCAAGTTTACATTTCATTTTTTCTAAATACGAAGAATTTACATTGTTAAGCTACTTTCGATTATTAAATAATTGAAATCGGTCGAGAACTACTCGTGAACCAGATTGAGACAGCGAACCGATCTCCATTGTTAGATTGAGTTGCTTCAATAGAGTTCATTAATCAAAAAGGTGAATGTTACCTTGTTGCAAATCATGAATCGATTGTGTATCACAGTTAGACAACAAACAATATATATCTTAAATTATGTAAAATAAATACTTTGGTTCCATCCTTACTTTTCAATAAAAAATAGTAAATTTTTTGTTAAGTGCATGACTTTTTTTTTTACTTTTAACTGACAAGATAATTATTATTAATTTGTTAATATTGGCCTTGTTTGACATCAACATTAGAGATTAGCATTAGCATTTTGAAAAGACTACCCGACGGTAGCCTTTAGCGTTAGCGTTTTCAAAATTAATCTATGCAATTAAAATTTTATTCGACACGCTAAACATTGTTTCCAAACAAGACATCTTTACCTAAATTACCCGAATTTAACAGTCATATGACCCAAATGCTCGGACATTCGATTATTTGTACACTCTACATGAATTAAGCTCTCTTCTTTTGTGTTAGAAAAATTAACTATCAACTTTTTCTATCTTCTTCTAGCTTCTTCCAATTTTCTTCAATTCTTTCCAACACCTTCTAATTTCTTTTATAGCGACTTAAAAAATGTATTTATATATGACGGATATAAAATAACTACATATATCTAAATTTATGACATACTACATCAAACACAAACGATCACAAGTTCTTTTTTTTTCAAAATTAGAGATTTTTTACATATGTATTTGATTTAAGACTTAAGTTCTTCTAATATTTTTCAACTTCTTCAAACTTTTTCCAACTCTTTCTAGTTTTTTGCCAACTTTTTCTATTTTCTTCCTACATCTGATTCTAAAATTTCAATCCAAAAGAACAGAGTCATAGTTAACCTTTAAACAAATTAAATTAGGGGTGGGCAAAAAAACCGAACTAGCATGGTACCATACCGGACCGTAATGATACCGAACTGTTTATAGTGTTTTCAAACGGGATTGATTTTTTTCATCACAAACCGAAACCGAACCGATATCAAATGGGACAGGACCGTGATACAAATATTTAAAACTGATTATCACAGACCGAACCATCTAACGCTATATACAGAGTACGTATCTCAAATAACTATGGAGTCTTTGTCTATTTCATCTTACCGTATATAGAGTACCTTGTATTTTATTATTCATTTTTAAACTCTCTCATTATTATTGTTGTTATTATATTTATCATTACTATTGGCATTATTTTTTTTATAGTTATTAGCATTCCAATATTATATGAATTGGAAAAAAAATTATTTTTTAACTTTGAACTCGTTATCTCCGAGTATTCTTTATGTTTATGATCTGTTTAAATTTGAGATCAATACTTTTATTTAATATTCTTGTGTTTTTTTATACAAATTTATACATTAAATTCAATATTCTTTAAGTAATGTACATTCATTTTTTTGGCACGGTTTGAGCATGGGTATGGTATTGTACCGTTCCGTTTCAAAACGGAATGGTACCGAATGGTTTTGGAGTTCATCTCGTACCGATACCGAACCGTTTAAATAATAGCGGTCCGTGATAGGTTCCGGTAGTATCACGGACCATAACGGACCGTGCCCACCCCTAAATTAAATTGTGTTTTGTTTTCAAAAAAAAATTAAATTAAATTAAATAAAAATAATAACTGTGTTTTCATTGAATAAACAAGATTCACAAGTATATCTGGATATGGATTGTGGATTTCATCCGGATGATTAATTTGCATATTTATCACTGTAAATAAAATTTTATACAGCAATACTGTAATCATTGAGAATTTTCAGGAGAATTATCTGAAAATCTTGCATCGGTGTGTTCCGATTCCGGTGGCCGCCGACGGTGATCAGAGGTGAGCGTCCGAGTTCGAAAATCTAGTGTTCCGGAAGAGTCCGGCATTGGCGTGATAATCCCGAACAGGAACCATGAATGCTTCGCCGGATATTGCGGACATCTTTGAGAAAGCAAAGGAGCTCGATCGGTTGAGGAAGGAACAAGAGGAAGTGCTCCTCGAGATCAACAAGATTCATAAGAAGCTTCAATCCAGTTAGTGTTTTTTTATCGTTGCAATTATTGTTATGGCGTAAAAGTAGCTACTTTGATCTAAATTGATTAATTTGGAGCCTGTGTTTGCATAGATTGCCCTAATTATGCACTCCACTTGCTATATGCATGTATTTATTGTCTTAAAATAATGCTATTTCCTATTTTCGTTCGGCCTTAGTTGGATTTCAAGTTCAGTTGACATCAGTCCCTGCAGTCTGAATCTGGTTTTCTTCCTGATTGGTACAAACTTCTTGTATAAGTCCTGTCTGTTCTAAGACGTTTGCCGAATGCTTGTTTTTCGTAACTAACCATTGCAGCAATTAGGTTTCCTTTTAAAACTGAAGTAAGGATTGCCAAGTGTGAATTTGACATGATGTTGAATCTGATATATCCATAATCTTGCATTGTTTCACAAAATTCGAATTGATTTTTAGTAGATATTGGCACACTATAACTCTGTGAACTCATCACTTAGTTTTGTGAATGTTCTATTCTTCTGTGTATGTCTTTTTTAGTTCACGGTTCTTGTGGAAAATCTTTGATTGTAGTTGCATTTGGGTTACAAAACACATGGGCTGTAACCGGTGTCGTTTCAAACATCTTTAAAATCATTGAATATTTTGTTGTTAGCAGAATGACTTTTCAATTAAACCAACACCTCACATCAAGCATTGCTTATATATCATTGATTGTTCCCTGTATGTGCAGACCCTGAGGTGGTAGAAAAACCCGGTGACAATTCATTATCAAGACTCAAAATGTTATACATGCATGCCAAAGAGCTTTCTGAGAGTGAAGTCAGGTATACATATATGGGGAGATTTGAGACAAAGTCTCCATTTTATATTTATATTTCTATATGTATAGAATATTTAAATGTTACGAGTATTAAATTTATATTTGATGGTGACGAAGTGATTTGCATGCAGCTCTTAGAATGTTTTATCCTAAAACAGTGTTACTTTAACAACACATACAAATTTTTATTGAATCTAGTTTTTTTCTGTAATTCCACACAAGTTAGTTTAACAAACAAATAACCTTAAAAAAACTCCGGTACATGGATGATGTACCTGAGTTGTACCTTTTTTTTATAAACCAGAGTTGTACATTGATGAAACACCACTTAACACGGGAATAATATACACTTAATCAGTGTAATTGCAGAACTAGATATTAATGGGTTATTGTTTTAATTCAGCATCTCTAACCAATTGCTGGCTCAACTGGAAGCATTATTCCCATCCGGACCTCCAGGGCAACCACGGAGAAGAATAGGTATGTGCGCATTGACCTCTAAACTTGCTAAAGAAGCAGTATAATATGCTAGTACTGGGCTTCATAAGATTTGGGTGAATAGAATGAACTTAGCCCTTGTTTGGCTGATTTTATCTTCTTTTTTTTGGGAAGGAGGGAAGGAGAGGGGTGATATTTTTTTAATTATTTATTGTTTTAGACTGTTGGAAAGAAAGTGACTATGAATACACACACACACATTTTAATCAAATTTACTGTTACTTTATATTCTACCATAAAAGTGTACTCTGTAAATAAATTAGTGACACAAGTGTCATCTACTGTCATTATCCCATTTTATCAAATAATCATATACTCCATCCACCCCAATTTAATTTCTCCATTAAGGATAACAAAGCTTGAT